ACTAGGAGATGCCACTTCACTAGAATGGTTATAATAAAGATAGGCAATAACAAATGTTGTGGGGTATAGAGAAATGGAACCCTTATACACTGCCAGTAGAAATGTGAAATGATGCAACCACTTTGGAAAACAGCCTTAAGTTGCTTAAAGGTTAAACAGAGAGTTACCATATGACCCAGTAATTCCACTCCTAGGTATATATCCAAGAGAAACGAAAACTTATGTCCACACAAAAACTTGTACACCAAAGTTCATAGCAACATGTTTCATAATAGACAAAAAGTAGAAACAACCCAAATGTCCATCAATGAACAGATATACAATGGAACATTATTCAGCCATAAAAAGGAACACAGTGTTGACACATGCTACAACATGGATCATCCGTGAAAACATGTTTAGTGACTGAAGCCAGACATAAAAGGTCATATATTATATGATTCGATTTGTATGATACGTACAGAATAGGCAAGTCTAGAGAGATAGAAAGTAGATTCGTGGTTGCCAGGAACTGAGGCAGAGAAAAAAATGACTGCTAATGGGTACAGGGTCTCTTTTTGGGGTGATGAAAATGTTTGGGGCAGTGGTGCTGATCACACAACTCCGTAAATAGGCTAAAAACCAACGAAGTATATACTTTAAAAGGGTGAATTTTATGATATATGAAATAAACCTCAATAAAGTTGTTATAAAACAATTAAGAAAAAATAGAAAGATACTGTGGGGGCCCAGAACATGCCACCCCAAGATGTGCCTCAGTGATATGCAGCTTACTCTGAGCTAAAAGGCAATTTTAGCTTCAGGCTCAAGAGAAACTTCTGACCCCTCCCCCCCACCACCACCACCTTTTTAACTACCTAGAAGAATTTGAGTTAGAGGCCTTGCCCATAAGAGATTATCAGAAATAAATTCTTTTGACCCATCTATAGGGCAAGGCAAACTTCTATTTACTAAACCGTCTGCTCTTCTTATCATCCTGCAATGACCTTTTGAAGCCCCCGAGGCATCTTACCTCATCCCTAGCGCAGGATATCTTATATACTTCAATTCCCCTTTCTCTGAACCTCTTATGCATTTGGTGTGTGGGGGGGGGGGTCTCTGACGCTCATGTTTGTTAGGAGATTAAATTTGATTTTCTCTTGTCAATATGGCTCCTATATTCAGTCAGCCAAAAGAACCAGGAGGGGTAAAAAAGAATTTGTCCCCTTCCCCACAATTCACAATTGATTGCCAATAATGCCTTATCCATTCAGATATTTTTTATTTATATGAATTCAATCCTCATAAAAATCTGACTTGCCAAAGGGTGAAAAACACAATTGTAATGTGTTGGTTGAGGAGGGAGTGGGGTGGTTACTCTCAATATAAAAACTATAAAAATAAAGAAAATTAGTTTTTTTCATTACTAAAAAGTTCAATTTCACTAGGCAGCTGAAAAATTATCAACTTTATATTCAATTTACCAGACCAACCTCCATTTTAAAATTCAAACTGATGGCTCTTGTCAAAAATTTCATCTTAACCCAAATACCACCCTCCCAGACAGCAAAGAATGCTAACTGATCCGGATTTCTCCAGTACGGAAACTACTGGCATAATTCTGACAGTACCTTTTACAAATGCAATGGGCCTCTGTAAAATTGCCTAGTATTTCTGGAAAGCTTATAAACGGGCTAATTTTAGCTTCAAATGTGCTAAAAAGGTTTCTGAAGCTTTAAAATATGTTTTATGTAAACTACTTTCTAAAAATCAGTCTATTTCAAAGGGAAAAATATTTTGATCAACTGGTGGAAGAGGGCAAGTTTCCACATAGGTGCAATCAAGATGGCTTACCAATGAGATTTGCATCCATAAAATGCCAGGCCTTTTACTCACACACACACACACACACACACACACACACACACAACACAAACATACACACCTGTTTTCCAACTACACCAGCATCCACCCGTGGACTCCACAATTACATGTGTCACCCCTGGTACACAAAAACACTGGACCAGCTGCCTGGTGCTCTCCAACAGTGCTGACAGATAGCAGTGAATCACTCATTCTCCTGAGTCGCATCCCTCATGATCAATGACACCGGCTGCCAACATCTTAAGGTTAAGGATGCAAACTGAGACCAGAGATCTTTTCTCCTTCCCGTGATGCTAAACGTTACCTATACAATACGGAATGACCACCCTTAGTGTCACTAGCGCCAAACTCAAACGGAAGCTAACTGCCACAGACTCAAATCTGAAGTAAACTATGGAACTGCAGTACTTGCTTTTTTTCAAGAATAAGACATGATCAAAACGTTGAGCATCCTCTATAGGAAGAGAACTGTGCTGATAATTAAAAAAAAAGTTTAGAGAGCCGTAATTTCAAATATTTTCACATAAATCAACAAAATCCCAGAAGCTCCAATACTTAGAAGAGTACAAACTGCACATCCTGTAATACCTCTATAACCAGAAATACATCGTCAGGCCATGTATGCATCTTTTCAGTGCTGAATATATGGTCTCCACAGATAAAGGATTTAGGGTTCATATCATTTCTCAGAGGTCTTAAAAATTGAATTGGGAAGCAGAATAAAGATATAAAGAGACAAACTGAAATCCAGGCTAGCATATGCTAAGGAAAAAACAAAAACAAAAGAAGACAAAACAGTCCGGCACGAGAGAGGAGTGAATGGATCCATTGGGGTTGGTTGAAGTCGTCAAAAAGGCTTCTAAAGAGACAGGAATCAACTGGGGCCAGAGTAAAGAACATCCATGAATACAAGCGGAAGAGGATTCAAACAGAAAGAATGGCATAAAAAAAGGCCAAAAGGAGCCACTTTACAGGAACAACAAACAAGTTAGTTTGGCTGAAACTAAGGATTCACAAAGGGAAGAAGTAAGAGTTAAGTCTGAAGACTGGATCAGGGCCCGATTACAGAGAAACTTGACCACCACACCAAGGAGCTTAAACTTTACTCTGCATGTAATAAGCAGTGTTCTGCAAGTCTTTATGCTGTGATGTGAGGACGTGAGAGTGTTAAAATGTGCAAGACCTTATTTACCAAAGCCCAAGCAGAGCACAAATATTCCAAACAAAACGCCACATCAGTGGGAGAAACCTATGTTCAAAGCCCAGGTATAAGAGCTTATTATTCGGGGAGCAGCAGTCCTCAAAACAGAACAGTGAACCAAGTTAAATAAAAAGTTACAGTGGTCTACTTTTGCAACTCGCATTTATTTCAAGTTTCCTTTATATTATAAAAGCAATGTAAGTATAAAGTATGTTGAACAGCGCTCACTGTATCAACCACGGGGGGGGGGGGGGGGGGGTTACCTCAAATGTTGTACAACTAGATTGTGAGTTCCAAAACTATGTTAAATCCTCAGACTTGAAATGTGATATGCCATAACCCTTATCAGTGTACAGAGCAGGATCAAGGCCATCAGCTTAAAATCTACCACCATGAATGACTTCATCATACTAACCCAAACACATTTTGAGTAAATAAACGGGTGTCTCAATGCTCTCAAGCAGCAATAAAAGGTGTTGAAACATCAACAGAAACAGAAACCCCTGACAGTCAAATATCCTCCCCAAAGATTAAAACGTGTCATTATTGTTCTCTTAGTCTCCATAATAGCCCAATAAAAACAATGAAATTTTAGTATAAGGTGGCTGACTACATATATTGTCATAAGATCCAAAAATCAAGGGGGAGCAGGGGTCTAAATTTCTTTATAATTACCTCATGTTAATAATAATAATAATAAATATAATCAGGAAGAGATCCAGCTTTATTTCTCAATTTAGATGACTTCCCCAAGGCCACTGGCACAAGCCAAGATCAAAATTCCTTACGGTTTCCCCTGGCTTCTAGTTTGTACATTGAGTCATCCATGTCTGATCCAAACAGGGGTACCCTAGAGGTCGCACAAGTGATAAAGAAGTCAGCTAAAAAGGGGCCACTAACAGGAGAACTACTCATTATATAACATATCCAAGAGCTAAAGATTTCTCTTCGATTGTGTTCCTAAAACAATATTTTTGTACATTAAATTGACTGACACCATCGTAGGTTTTACTTTGAGCGAACAGACCAAAATATTGGGTAGAGGGGACGGCGTTCATCCTGATAGCCTACCAAGTTATGGAAAAGGGAAATCAACTGATTGAAACTCAGACATTTTCAGCAAGAGAGTTGCAAAACACCAACGTATCTCAAAGATCCTGGGCCGGTTCAAACTTCCAGGCTGAACCTAAACTGCCCGTCCCTTGTGCTTAATGCAAGTATTCATTACGGCCCTTTTGTCTGTGAAATGACCCACACCAAGCCACGGCAGAGAAAATAACTGGGACCTGAACAGCACAGTCGTTATTGGGAGCGAAAGGGGGAGTCAATCTTCGCGCTCGTTGCAGCTCCTCCAGCGCCCCCGTCACCCGTCCCACACCCCTTTATTTGCTTACGACAGAAATGGCAGCGACTGAGGCTACCGTGGGAGGGGAGGAGAGGAAACGGCCAGGAGACCGCAATACAAGTTTGGAGACCAGCACCAACTTGTGGCGATGGACCCGAGTCTTTCAGGGCCTACTACCGAGTGGGAGCGAATCCCCACTCGCACCCCCTCCCCTTGGAGGTGGCAGGAAAAGATGGGGGAGGGGAGGATCTGGCGGAAGAGAGGTGGCAGGGCAGGCGGCGAGTCCAGCCGCGGGTGATCGATGGTCGGTAAACAAGCGGGGCGGACCCACCCTCCCACAGCCCGGGGCCTGCGCCTGCACCCGCACCCGCACCCGCCCCGGGCAAGCCCAAGATGAAAGCACGGCGGCAGCAGACCGTGCCCCCTGCCCTTCCCTGGCCTCCTCTAGCCTACGACACCGCCCCGGGGGTCGCGGGCGGGCGGCCCAGTACACCCAGCGGCCTGGGCGCCACCAGGGAGCGAGGGGCCGGGCAGGCCGCCACAGGGGCCGCGAGGGGCCTACGGCGGGGCGCTCTCCCGGGGCCTGGTTACCTGGCGGCGGCGGCGGCTCCTCCTCCAGCTCCTGCTCCTCCTCCCAGTCCGATGCTCGGCGTCCGGCGGCAGCGGCAACTCCCCGAGCAGCCCCCGGCGACGAGCCGAGCCGGGCCCCTCTCCGCCTCCCTCCGTGCCGCCTCCGCCCTCCCCCCTCAGTCAGGACATGGTCTCCGTGGGCCGCGCACGGCTCCCGACTGCCGGAGACCGGGGTACAGGGGCAGAGAGCAGGCGCGGAGGCGAGGGGGCCCCGAGGGGGAGGGGAACAGAGGAAGGGGGCGTCCTCGGGCGCTGCGGGCTCCTAATGGCGGCGGCGAGGGGCTCCAGAGCCAAATAAACTCCACAGCGAGCTGCACAACGTCAAGGCCGGACCCCACCGCTCGCCGCCCTATCATTGGCCCCGAGGCCGCCAGGGGCGCAGCCAATGGGCGGCCGCTTCTTTCCCGGAGCAGTAGGCGGGCCGCGGAAAGGTGACGTCACGGCGCCCAGCCCTGATTGTGAGGCGGTGGCGATCCTGGGCCGTGGACCCTCGGCAGCCTGCCTGCCGGGGACGCTGGGAGGTGACAGGGCGGCGCTGCGTGCAGGCCAGAGGCACGCAGACCGCGCGGCCCCGAGGGCGTCCTCGCGCCGCGGTGCAACCCACTTTGCCTCCTCTGCAGCAGAGGCGCCAGACTCATAAACCAGCCCCCAAGTCTCATGTCTCCCAAGTGACCACTTAGTAGCAGATTCTGCTTCACTTTTTCTTACACAGTTTCCAACTCTTTATAAGACACCAGGGAAGATAAATGTTTAAGTTGATTGTGATCGTTTTTTTATGTCTGTTTTTTACAATGTCTATTTTTTACCTTCGAGGCGGTGTGGGTGTATATAATATATATTACGTGTCTACGTAGGTATATGCATGATGCAAAGCCATGGAGTTGTATGCCATTACCTCAAAAAAAAATTTTTTTTTAAGAAAAGCTCTGTTCTACTTCGTAGCTCTAATTTTTGATAAACTCAACTTTCTTGTGGTTGCCTTTCCTGTAAATTGTAAATTTAAGGCAGAGAATACATTACAGCCATGAAAAAAATACTGCGGGGCAAGTTCCCAGAGCCCAAGTTATAAAGAAAATATGTTAAATGGTGACGTATTTTGTGTATTTCCTTTATTTCTGTAAATACAGCCAAAGAGTCTTAAGTTATTTAGCCATTTGTTAAAACCCCATAAGTGTGTCAAATTTTTCCAGCTGGAGAGCTTTGCCTTGCATTTTTCATACTTCAGATTCTATTTCAAGAATTTGAAAGACCATAAAACAGAGCAACTCTTTAAAACTTGTAAACCTCTTTAAAAGTTATCTGTTGAAGAACTATAGCGCTGTCAAAGGGCATTTAGCAGTTGTACTGGACACCTCAACTTGAATAGGAAGACTGTGTTACTCACTTCAATAGGATTTTTTAAATTTGGGTGGGGACTGTTAAGTAAAACTATTCATGGTATTATTCTGAGTCTCTTTGCATAAATAAGGCACAAGTGTGTGTACAGCTTCACTATGGGCACCAAAGAATAATATCTTACATTGCTTCCTCACCAACGGCCTCTTTTGTAATCACCAGTATATTTCATCCTCACAGCCATTCCTGTGATAGATTTTCAATAACCCTCATCTTTCCAGAGGAATATTATTATTTGCTCAGACTCCTCGATAAATTGAGTTTAAACTGCAACAGTCATTTGCCTACAAAACGTCACACACATTCTCAAACATATAATTAACACGGTTGTAGATAAAATTAAACGCCACGTTATTATGTAAGAACAATGGTTCAACCAACATTTCACTTTGAAAATATTTTAAGAGCTTCTAAGTACCTCAGCTTCCCCTTCCTGAATCTCAGCTGCAAAGCATCTCACAAATTAACAAGAACTGGAAAATTAGGTGTTTTTGTTTAGTTTGAATTGTAGTTTATTTTGTTAAGGGAAGGGGATATTATTTGAATAAGGCTTATTAACTCTTTACTCAATTCAACAAACCTAAAGTAAGTACCATGTGCCAAGAACAAGCAGCACACACAGATGAGTAAGACATCCTGTGTTTGAGGAACCTGCAGCCTAGGAAAGAGGGCAAGACAAAAATAACCATAATTATAATATGAGGTGGAATGTGCTAAGTTAATTCAAATGAAAACTCTCTTGTAATTGAAAGGAAGAGCAAATCCCAAAATGACTCTGCTAAAGCTGAAAAGATACTTGATACAGTCCAGTGGTTCTCAGCCCTAGCTACACATTAGAATTGCCAGAGGAGCTTTTTCAAAATATCCATATCTGGGCCCCACCCCAGACCTACTGAAACAATCCCGAGGAGATCCTGGGCCTGGCTATGTTTGAAACACATTCCCCAGGTGACTAAGTATGCAGCCAAGAACTGACAGAGTCCTAGCCCCCAGAGCTTACAAATGTGGAAACTAATGCCTAGAGATTTTTAATGACTTACCAAAAGATCATCTAGGTTTGGAATTAGAAAACGAAGCTCTTGATTTCTCAAATCTTTTTTCCATTGCACCATATTTGAGTAAAAAATGTCAACAAGTACAGCAGATAGCATTGTCAGTTAAAGAACTGATTTGTGCTTACACATGTTTCTGAGAAATATTTGAGTTCTCAGAAATATTTCATTTGGGAAAAAAGCATCCAGTTTTTTGTTTTGTTTTTTTTCTTCTAACTTCTTTTTCTTAGAATCCTTGTACTAAATTGTAGGGACAATATAATTTGTTGACAATTAATTTCTCTTGGCTTTTATTTTAAGTGCTTCCCAAACTACTTGTGCAAGATATAATTCTATTTTATTTTTTTCTGCCTTATTGTGTAGGGCTGAATGCCAAATTGTGGATCTGTACTTAATTCAGTTACAAGTAGAGTTGAAAAACATCACTAAGTTTTGAGCTGGAAAGTGCCAGAGCTATACCTTAACCTGGAATGTCTGTGAGACAAACTAGGGTAGAATTAGAAACAGAGACAGAAAAACCCATTAAAAGACAAAACATGCTCTTCTCGAAAGCGGCCTGAGGTGACCTCAGAAAATAGTTCGCTATGCGCTTGACCCAGAGAACCCCACAAAATCATGTAAATCAAGAGGTTCAAATCTACGTGTTCATTTTAAGAACACTCGTGAAATTGCCCAAGCCATCAATCCAAAAAGCCACCAAGTACCTAAAGGATGTCACATTACAAAAGTAATGTGTGCCATTCTGTCCTTACAATGGTGGATTTGGGAGGTGTGCCCAGGCCAAACAGTGGGGTTGGACGGGTCGGTTGCCCAAAAAGAGTGCAGAATTTTTACTGCACAGGCTTAAAAATGCAGAGAGTAATGCTGAACTTAAGGGTTTAGATGTAGATTCTCTGGTCACTGGGCACATCCAAGTGAGTAAAGCTCCCAAGAGGCGGCGCAGAACTTAGAGTTCACAGGCAGATTAACCCACCCATTAGCTCCCCCTGCCACACTGAGATGATCCTAACTGAAAGAGAGCAGATTGTTCCTAAATCAGAAAAGGAGGTTGCACAGAAGAAAAATATCTCCCAGAAGAAACTGAAGAAACAAAAACTTATGGCCCGGGACTAAATTCAACATCAAATAAATGCTAATAAAAAATTTTTTTAAAAAAAGAGACAAAACCTAAAACCAAAGTAGCTGTGGGAATGGAAAGGAGAAGACAGTAGTGAAATAAGGTGACAGTGGAATGTTCCGAGTTTGCCAGTTACTGAATCTGGGGCAGAAGAAAGACTCAAAAGTCAGAGAACTCTGAATGATAGTGGTGTGATTAACAATAGGAAACCCAAAAGAGGAACTCGATAAGAGGAGATATTGACTATTGCCTCAGGTGTGTGGATATCCTGGGCTCAAGAGGAAATGTGCAGCCAGCTGGGAAATGCTGGTCTGCAATTTCATAGTGTGGAGCTGGAGATAAACTTCAGAGAGTTCTATGTAGAAGTTACCATTGAAGCCACAGGAGTGGGAAAGGAAAAGAAAAACTACCTAAGGAGGAGAAAACGATTGTCAAAAAGAGAGAAGATGAAAAAGGGGTTCTTGAAGCCCAGGGAGTGGTGAGTGTAAAGAACATGGTAATAGACAATGTCAGATTCTACAGCCTCAGGAGTTAGAACAGAAAAAAAGTCACTGGGCTTGACAAACAAGAGACGTAGTGACTCTAGAGAACAGTTCTCAGTAGGATGGTGGGGAGACAAGCCAGATTTCAAAAGCTGAAGACATATGTGGGCATTGAAGCAGTGATTATAGCCTACCAGTCCAAGACGTCTGGCAAGAAAAGGAGGCAGGAGATACAAGAATAGACACAGGGAGTGACGAGAATGAGGGAAAGGTAATTTTTATGTATTTTTTTTTAAGAATGGGCATATCTGAGCACTTTTGTAAACAGAGAAGAGAAGGGGGGGCGGGGGGGGGGTGAATTGAAATCCAGGAAGGAGGTAGTAATCCAGCACACAGTGATTTGTCTTGGCAAGCATGAGGGCCCTTTCTTCCTCAAAAATAAGAGCAAAGGAAGACGTGGAAAATAAAGCTGCAGACAGGGCCGGCTGTGTGGCGCATTGGTTAAGAGTTGGCTTTGGAGCACCAGCTGTGAGTAACAGGGCCCCAGTTCCGATCCCATATGAAGGCCAGTGATGCTGCGCCCTCTACAGCTAAGATGGTGATCAACAGCTCCACCTGGAGCTGGGCTGCCGTGAGTAGCTGGCGAGGGCGTAGGCTGCAATGGAGCTGCAGTGGGCTGCCATAAGCTACCATGAGTGGCCGGCAACCAGCGTGAACAGCCATGAGCCGCCGTGAGTGGCCATCCAAAAGCCGGTGACCGATCTGCCTCTCCTGGGAAGAGCACAATGATAATACCAACATGGGCCAGTGAAGCGACGTCCTCCACAACTAGACTGAAGAACAAAAGGGCAGCAACTTGTCTGTTCCCCATCCCCCAATTCCCCAACGCTGTTCCCCTTCCCCAATTCCCCAATAAAATCTTAAAAAAAAAAAAAAAAAGGCTGTAGACAGATTCTGATGGGAAAGACAGGTGATGGAGTGGACTTCATATCTTTTTTCCGCCTGAGAGAATCAAGCACAGATCAGAGGAGACCAGAGGGCCTTTGGGACAAGGGATGTGGGGAAGCAAACCAAGAAGAGTGACGAAAGAACAGGAGCCATTTTCTCCGGTGAAGCATGGCGGCCCAGGTCAGGCCTAGAACAAGGAGACCAGACTGCAGAGGCGACTTACAGATGGACATTTCCAAATAAGGGAAGTTAAAAGCTCTTCACTGAAGAAGATGATGACAGGTCCAGCTTGCACTTTTGATAAAATTGGTGAGTTTCCCTCAAAAGAAATGCTAGAAAGTTGAATTGTCTCAAGAACAAAGTCTCAGC